TATATATATATATATATATATATATGTGTGTGTGTGTGTGTGTGTGTGTATAAAACATCCTCACATTTTTTTACCTTTTATGTGCACCGTTGATACATGAAATGCACTGATTAATGTTTCAGCAACACTGCACAACAATAGCACCGAACCTGTCGTTGCAGCAGTGTTGCTTATCTAGACACAACATTTAAGCACATGACCTTGTCTCCATTAGTAGCCTATTGTGAGAACAAAAGTCTTGTAGTCTCAAACACACCTGGGTATACAGTGAAAAAACGCATGCAAGTTTGCACAGTGGGAGAGGTTATGTGAAAAAAATCTGATAAAGCACACCTTAAAATGGACTGCAAAAACTGCAAACACTCATTTTCTATTGCAGGACTGAAGTACAGCTCCATAGTGTAATAGCTGTTCTTTTACAAACCCACTGACTAAATGAACTGATTCTGACACAAACTTCAGACTTCATAAGTCTTTATTTGGAAATGTCTGGTTCTTCTTACACAATGGGATAAAGAGCATAGCTGGCGATCCCACAAGTGTTTTTGCCATTGCGGATCATTCGCATGTAGCCTCCATCACCCCATCCTGTTCCCCAACTGAGAAAAGAAAGGAAAAGAAAGGGTCAGACCATTAAAATGTAATTACCATGTTTTTTGGACATATACTCTGGTAAAAGCATGGTATTCTATGAAGTTCCATGTGTTTTACTGTCTGATTCCATCACTGTAACATGATGCCACCACAGTACAATACTTTTCTGTAAAGGTAATGAAGTTGTCTACAGTAGAAGTTGTAGTTCGTTGTGTGGATTTTCTATCAGTGTATATAGGGTGTTAATGTACTCATAAACCTAAATGATGGGCGTTCTCTTACCTGTTTTTGATTATCCAGTAATCTTTGCCCCCTTCTGAGCCATAACCAACCACAAGCACAGCATGGTTGAGGTTGTTAGGGTTACAGTTAGATTCCTTGTAGATTCCTGTTGAAACAATTCATATCATTTATCATTAAATTATTATTTTAGTCATATATATATATATAATATTGTACAAATCATTCAATATATATTTATATATAAATACTTATATATTCAAATGTATTATTTATGTTTATTTATGCATGTTAAAAAGTAATATAATACTTATATAAATAAATAGGTAATATAATTACATTATTTTTTATTAAGATATTTATTTATATATATTATTGTTTTAAGTAATTTGTTATAAAAAATGTAATAAGCATGTATTGTTCATGTAAATAAATAGTTATTAGTGTGTTCATATCTATATTTACATATGTAAGTGAATTATATTATATATATACTACTGTCCTACTTTACTCAACTGTGTAACTCTATAAAGTGTAATTCATTTAATAATTTTATTGATATCATTTAATAGTTTTATCAATAAATATATATATATATATATATATATATATATATTTATATATATATATATATATATATATATATATAACAGATTTTATATATACAAATAAATAAAAAAGTCAAAATAATATTAGCATTTAACATCTTAACATTTTATAGAGTTAGACAGTGAAGTACAATATACATAAACTGTTCTACTTATACAATATATTATAGATTGTGTATATCAAATTTGTATTGCATTTATATACTTATATAAATACATATATGTGTGCATATATTTATATTATATATACAAATAAAAAAGTCATACTAATATAATATAAATAAATTAAATCATTAATAAATAAAGTTAAAAGTGAATATAAAAATAATAGTATATTAAAATTAGTAGTTAATATAAATTACTATTAAAGTTTTATTTTAACAATATATTAATAACTTATAAAATCACTGACTTGTGTAAAAAGTGTTACAAAATAGACTTACTATGTATATCAATTACATATCTTTTTTCTTTCTTTCTTTCAGGTTGGAAATTGAATCTAAGGAAGTGAAAATCTTACCCGAGCTGTAGAAGAGGAAGCTTGGATGATCGGCATCTATGGCGACAGTGATTGGACCGATGGTTGCCACGGCGTCAGCCAGTGCCTGTTCATCTCTGGCCGGGATGAATCTGTAGTCACTGATCCTGGTGACAACTGAACTTCTGTCATAGAAACAGGGCTGAGTATCCTGATGAAACCAGATCCGAAAAACACACATTCAGACTGGCCGAATCACACAAAAACATCTCAAAACTGACTCAAATGATCAAGAGCACTCACCGCTGAAGTGTAGGGGTAAGTGTCAGAGCTCTCCAGCCCTTTATGGATCACGTAATCATAGGCGTTCGCCATCCAGGCTCCACTGCAGCCATATGTGCCATACGACCTGGAACAGTCCACCAGCTGCTGCTCGCTGAGGGACACCAACCGCCCTGTTTTCTTGAACATCTGCCCTTCAATGGCACCTGTAGTGCTAAAGGCCCAGCAAGACCCACAGTATCCCTGAATAAAAGACGACAAATCAATCATTTTAGCATCTAACATACTGTATAATCATTTTCAACAGAAGGCCTACATGTGTGAATAAAAATACGCATATCAAGGATCAATTAAAAGAGAAATCCACCTGATCTTTGACTTCAGTCACATATCCTTGTGCTCGATAATCCACATTGGTCAATCCCAGTCTGTTAGCATTGACACGGAGCGTCTGAGCAGATGCAACCTTTCCTCTCCTGTTTATCGGTCCATTAATTGTGGCGCCCAGCAAAAGTTTGTACTCCATCTTGGTCTGAAGATGAGAAAAATTAGATAAAACATAATCTTAGACAACACAAAATCGACCAGAAAATATTTTTTTGGCAGGATGTTACATCCACACCACTAGGTGTCTGTATAAATCCACCTTTAAAGGGTTAGTCTGCCCAAAATTAAAATTCTGTCATTAATTACTCACACTCATGTCTTTCCAAACCCGTAAGACCTTCGTTCATCTTCAGAACACAAATTAAGATATTTTTGATGAAATCTGAGAGCTCTCTGAACCTCCCATAGATAGCAACACAACTGAAATGTTCCCAGATCCACAAATGTCGTAAGGACATTAGTAGAACAGTCCATGTGACATCAGTGGCTCAACTTCAACTTTGCGAAGCTACGAGAATACTTTTTGTGTGCAAAAAGAACAAAAAATAACAATTCATTTAACTGTTCTTCTCCCCGAGTTACCGTCTTCCACCAATTTGGAGAGTAACCCAACGCTTTCCCCAGAATGTAATCAACGTAATCAGCATTGTCGTAGTATTCTTTTATCGATGTCCTTGCTACATTTCTGCGTCTGGGAACATTTCAGTTGCGTCGCTGTCTACGGAGGTTCAGAGAGCTCTCGGATTTCATCAAAAAATATCTTAATTTGTGTTTCGAAGATGAACGAAGGTCTTACGGGTTTGGAACGACATGAGGGTGAGTAATTAATGACAGAATTTTCATTTTTGGGTGAACTATCCCTTTAACAAAGATAATACAGCAGTTTCTGAAATTTTCAATCGTTTTACTTACGAGGTCACCGTATTTGTTCATTGCCATGTTAAACGTCGACAATCCGAAGCGGAAATCATCATTGTTTTTCTCAATCATTTGCAGATTGGTCTCCCAGATGATTTGTCTCTGAATGTCGTCACTCTACAGTCATAAAGTCAAACTTTAATATAAAGTCAAACGCAGTGCATTACATACCTATAACATATAATCCACAACCACAAACGGACTTAAACTACATGTTTATACAGGATTAAATGTCTCAACAGTGTTTCAGACCTTTTTATTTTTAAAGGAACAACTGACCCCAAAATTACTGTTTTACTCTCTTTTTTGCACTATAAAAAGTGGTAAGTGGCAAGTAAAACTTTTAATTTTAAAATGTTTTATTTTTTCAGTGTGTATTCGAAATGTTTCCTGTTGTGTTTCACTTAGCAAGAATATGAGTAAAAAAATAACAAATACATTTTTATTTTTGGGTGAACTGTCCCTTTAAAGCAGCACTATGTAACTTTTGGCGCTTTAGCGGTTAATAAACAGAACTGCACACATCCCGCGGAAGAACATTCCAACCGGAACTACTTTTCTAAGTTTGTGTCTATGGCGATTCACGCAGGTATGTGTTACTCCGCAGCGGTGACGACCCGACCAGGCTACAATAGTCCAAATATAAGTACTTATTATAAGTGTACCGTAGTGACTCAGAATAAGACAAAAACGCGGTTTGGAAGATTAATTCATGATGTACTCGCTCATTATATACATTTTGCAAATTTTGAACACAGAAAAAGTTACATAGTGCTGCTTTAAGACACCTAAATGATTCTAACCGACCTCCTCATCGTAGGATATTTGATGAAGACTTTTCCACAACGCCCAATCTGAGGGGGCTTCCTCTTCTGAATCTGCTGCCACCTGCAGAGGTGCCCACATCAGGAGAGCAAACAGCGCCACCCAGTGTGCTATGAACGAAGGTCTTACGGGTTTGGAACGACATGAGGGTGAGTAATTAATGACAGAATTTTCATTTTTGGGTGAACTATCCCTTTAACAAAGATAATACAGCAGTTTCTGAAATTTTCAATCGTTTTACTTACGAGGTCACCGTATTTGTTCATTGCCATGTTAAACGTCGACAATCCGAAGCGGAAATCATCATTGTTTTTCTCAATCATTTGCAGATTGGTCTCCCAGATGATTTGTCTCTGAATGTCGTCACTCTACAGTCATAAAGTCAAACTTTAATATAAAGTCAAACGCAGTGCATTACATACCTATAACATATAATCCACAACCACAAACGGACTTAAACTACATGTTTATACAGGATTAAATGTCTCAACAGTGTTTCAGACCTTTTTATTTTTAAAGGAACAACTGACCCCAAAATTACTGTTTTACTCTCTTTTTTGCACTATAAAAAGTGGTAAGTGGCAAGTAAAACTTTTAATTTTAAAATGTTTTATTTTTTCAGTGTGTATTCGAAATGTTTCCTGTTGTGTTTCACTTAGCAAGAATATGAGTAAAAAAATAACAAATACATTTTTATTTTTGGGTGAACTGTCCCTTTAAAGCAGCACTATGTAACTTTTGGCGCTTTAGCGGTTAATAAACAGAACTGCACACATCCCGCGGAAGAACATTCCAACCGGAACTACTTTTCTAAGTTTGTGTCTATGGCGATTCACGCAGGTATGTGTTACTCCGCAGCGGTGACGACCCGACCAGGCTACAATAGTCCAAATATAAGTACTTATTATAAGTGTACCGTAGTGACTCAGAATAAGACAAAAACGCGGTTTGGAAGATGAATTCATGATGTACTCGCTCATTATATACATTTTGCAAATTTTGAACACAGAAAAAGTTACATAGTGCTGCTTTAAGACACCTAAATGATTCTAACCGACCTCCTCATCGTAGGATATTTGATGAAGACTTTTCCACAACGCCCAATCTGAGGGGGCTTCCTCTTCTGAATCTGCTGCCACCTGCAGAGGTGCCCACATCAGGAGAGCAAACAGCGCCACCCAGTGTGCTTGATACGCATCTATACAAAACACACATTACATTTAAACAAACATTAGCTTTATCACTTTGAATGACCTAAAAATCCGTGTATCATTCGATCATTCGTTTTTTTATTTAATATTGAAAGAAGAAAATTTAGAAAACGGCTCCTTTTTCGTGTTTTTCCAAAAAACGAAAATTCGTTTTTCGTTCATGGGTGGAAAAATGAATAATTCGATTTCTACATGTGGGCGGGAATTAAACGCTCCTTTCTGCTGATTGATACTGCTGAAGAACTGATGACAGCACGGTTTGATCTTCGGCTGACCAATCAGCAGAAAGGAGCGTTTAATTCCCGCCCACGTATAGAAATCGAATATTCAAAGCTTATTCATTTTTCCACCCATGAACAAAAAAACGAAAAAGTAGCCGTTTTCTAATTTTTCTACTTTCAATATTAAATCAAAAAACGAATGATCAAATGATACACGGATTTAAAAGCTTTTTTTGTGGTTGGTTGACAAACAAACCAATAAGAATAGTGAGCACAGTTAAGGTTCCTTTTCAATTTTGAAAAAAATTGTTTAAAACTAAATATTTGGCGTAAATAAATAACTAAATTAACATAAATAACTACAAATGTAGTCATTTTTAATAACTAAATCTTTATTTTTCTGAATTTGTTTATAATATTTACACAGGTCTAAAACAAACATATGATTATTTGCTATATCACTTTGGATAACCTGAAAGTAGAGTTTTAATTAATTTATTTATTTTTAGTTCTTATTCTGAGACTGATTCACTTTTACAAAAATAAATAAGTAAAGCAAAATTTAGAAAGACATAGTTGGAAAGGGTTGAAAAGAAATACGAAACTTTTGAAAGTTTTTTTTTTCATAGGCTGTTTAACTTTCACAAAAATAATGAGCACAATTTAGGTTTAGGTAACTTGTGCTTTTTTATTTTATCACTTAAGAATAACCTGAAAGTTTGAGTCCCCCCCCCCCCCTCTTATTTGTTAGACTGATTCACTTCTCTGAAATAAATTAAATTAAATTAATTTTAAACATTAGCCCAATTTAAGTTACATTTTTGTTTCAGCAATTCAATTTAAATACATATTTAATAAATATTTAAACTTGTTTATAATATTTAAAAATGTAGTCTTTATCACTTTAAATAACTTTAAAGTTTGGTGTGTGTGTGTGTAAAGTTCTTATTCTTAGAATGATTCACTTTTAGACTGATTCTTTTACAAAATAAATAATTAAAATAAAATTGGAAAATAATTATAAAAAAAAAAAATAAGCCCAATGTAGATTACATTTTTGTTTCAGCAATTCAAATAAATACTTAACATAAATATTTAAACAACTGAGGTTGTTTATAATATTTACATCGGGTCTAGAATGAGCACTTTATTACTTTGTTTAACTTGAAAGTTTGTAATTCAGTTAGAAACACTAATTCAGTTTTTCAAAATAAATAAATAGAGCCCAATATAAGAAATATTTTTGATTCAGCAGTTCAATTTAAATAAATGTTTATATATGCTATTATATTTATAACTGAATATTTACACTAATATTTAAACCACTGAACTTGTTTATAATATTTAAAACAGTAGTTTTTTTTTTTTGTCAAAAGTATTAGGTTTTATTTTTGGTCCAGCAATTAAATTTAAATAACTAAATATTTCACATAAATATTCAAACAACTGAACTTGTTTCTAATGTTAACACGAGGTCCAAAACAAATGTGTGTTTCCTTCCAGACTTACCGAACATGTTGCTCTGCAGGAAGTGTGTGTCTGAGTGTTTGGAGTGCCGTGTGGATGAAACTGAAGCATGTCTTCTGCGTTATATACCATCAGGCTGAAGGTGTGTCCATACTGTTAGAACTTGCTATAGGTACTATGTCATCCTGCAAGAGAAAGCCACTAATTAACAAGACTTAAAACATTTAACCCTAACCAACAACTTCACCGAAATCACCGACACTGCAGCACATCAAGCTTTCAGAAACGTCGTCCTAAGAAATCGAATGTGATGCTTCATGTGACATCTTTTCGTTCATTATTGAATATTTAAATGAGGACTGAGTCAGCAGTGTTTGGATGCCTGACGTGTTTTGTCTGACTTGATTCTTGTTTGGAATATAATGAACGTACTACTACAGACATTATATCCACAAAGTATAGTCCAACCAGAGCAAGGCCTTTATTACGGGGGTGACTGCTGAGTCATCTGTCTTTCTTCATCTCACTTAGCCGTGTGTTCTTCAGTGCTGTCATAATGCTGTCATAATTTACCCCCATTATTACACTTCATCCCATGATTGCCTCTGCAGCTCATATTTTGGGGCTTTTCATTATGCACAGTCTGGAACAAGTCAATAGCCTTGCAATTTGCCTTATAAAAATTACTTTGGCTTATTAAACAAAAAGGTTAGGTTTGTTTTGTGCTATAGCCTTTATTTATATATAGACTGTTTTTATATTATGCATTTATATTATTTTTTACACTATAGCCCATAATATGTTTATTGTATGTATATGTTTTATTGTATGTTTATACTATAGACTATAGCCTATATTTGTAAACTATAGTGAATAGCCTTTCGATTTTCACTTATAAATAATAAATATAACTAAATTTTTTTACTATAGCCTATTTAATATATATATATATATATATATATATATATATATATATATATATATATATATATATATACACAATATATATA